TAAATAAAAAGCTGAGTCCCAACTATTATGAAATTCATAACTGCTAGAAATCCACTTTGGTTGCAGAGCCTTTTTTTCCTTTAGCTTCCTTGAGTATATAAAATGTTTGACAGTAAACAGTAAGCTACTCCTTTAGTTTGTAAGCTATTCCTTCTATGTTACCCAATAATGTTTCCATATAACAATGGATGTTTCTGTGTGAACATGAAATTTAAAAGTGACAAATCATTAACTAGTTCAGTCAAAATCTATAAAACAATATCCAATGTCAGGCATCCCAAACCAGGGAACATACATGGAAAGGAATCTATCAATCACAGTTTACATAGCAAACACAGGAGTAACAGAAAAACACCACAGTGATACAGGAAAGAAGATGTGAAAAGTGAAAACTTCATTACCTTTAGTCATCTTTTCTGGATTGATCAATGTGGTACTTAAAAACAGACTACAGTGCAAATCTAATCTAATAGATTTTGAACTGGCTCTGCTTTGCTGTAATTACTAACCAATATACCTATAATAATTTGAAGCATAACAATAAAAGCTACACAATTGGGAAGTCTAACAATCAGGGTGGTAGTAGTTGTGGGTTTTTGTTCACTGTTGAGTCTGAACTCAACCACAGCGAAATTCCCCAATGGCAAATGTGTTGTTGTTGTTTTGTTTCAAGGCAACATAAAAATAGGAACACTGACACAGCATATTTTTGCAGAACTAGTTTTGACCATTCTAGGAAGAAGAAATAATTGGCTCTAGTTTAAGATCTTCCATAATATGGAAATGGTTAGGAAGAAAAAATGTAATCTAAAAAAAATCAAGGAGGAAAAACAATCACTTTTGAAGAATTGTTACATGTTGATATCTAGTTAAAAACTTCACTGGATTTCCAAACATGTTGACATAATACAGTGGTGCCTTGCTTAACAATGTTAATTGGTTCCCAAAAAAACACTGCTATGGGAAAACACCGCTAAACGAAACACCATTTCCCATAGGTATGCACTGAAAACCGGTTAATCCATTCCAATGGGAACGGATTACCGTCCTTAAGCGAAAATCGCCATAGGAAACATCGCTAAGCGAAACAATGTTTCCCCCATTGGAATGCATTGAAGCCTATTCAATGCATTCCAATGGTTTTGCAATGTCCGTTTTCGCTATTTTTAGTGTACAAGGTGCACTAACGATCCCAAGCATTTAAAACAGTTTTTGAACATTTTAAGACACTTTTAAAGTAGCGAAAACGGAACATCGCTAAGCGAAACAGGGGACCTAAACTGTCATCGCTAAGCGAGGCAAGGTCCCGAACATCGCTATGCAAAATTTCCCCATATAGGGAACATCTGTAAACGGAGCGCAAAATCGCTCCAAAAACCTCATCGCTAAGCGAATACATCGTTAAACGAGGCAATCGCCAAGCGAGGCACCACTGTAGTTAAGTATATATTGCCAAGCATTTACATTGCTATTTTCATATATGCTAACTTGCATGTATGTTAAATATTTCATTTTTTTAATATACAAAATCAGTGTCTGATGCATTAACACAAAAGCCGTTTGTGGTTTATTCAGTTAATCTGTACTATCTCATCAAATACAACAGTAAATTACATACTGGGACAGGGTAGCCACAGATAACCCTGGAGGGTTCTTAGCCTCTTCCCTATGCAGCTTTAAAAAGATAGGCTGTTGATTTTTTTTAACCAACAGTTCAGTCTTTTAGAAATCTTGATTGATGAAGAGTATACAGATCAATCTGAGGTATCTGTTTTTCCCAAGCAAGCACTAAGCTCTTCCATGAAAACTGAAAGAAAAGTGGCTTTATTTCTTTGCTGGACTGAGCCAGCATTTTTGGTAAACAGAAATAACAGAGACAGAGATAACACTCTTTTCACTCTTTTCCTTGTATGGCATTATTCTGAAGGTCATCCCTTATTTTTATGATTTTAAATCATATAAGACGTGGTAAATATTTGTCTCAACGTTCTCCCAAATCAAGCCTCATCTTCTCTTACAACAGAACATGCCCAGAATTTAAGAGTGTCCAGAGAACGATTCCCCATAGAACTGAACCTACAACAAAGGGTAGGAAGCTACTAGCTACTACAGTTTTAAAAGATGCATAATCCAGATAGTCTAAGAATAGGTGTCCTTCAGTCTCGAGAGACTAAGGTAACGTGCTCTGTATGGAGGACTTGGAACAGCGTCTAATGTTTCAACGCTGTATGCAACGCTGGAGTGTCCCCTCCAGGGCACGAAGCCTGGGTAAAATAACATGGAGGACAAGCTGTTACCCAAGCAGCAAATCCCCCCTCTCCATGTTGCTGAAATAGTCCAATGGAAAGGCAAGAGCCAACACAACTGGTTTCAGCGACGTCGCAGGAGTTGCCAGAATGACACAAATTGCCTCCTGGATTCTGGCTCCGGATTTTGCCTCGAGGTTGACTCCTGAAGCCTTTTCCATTAGTGGATATAGCCACAAGGCAGTGGAGGTTTGAAATCGGAGTTTTTCTTCTCCTAGATGGGCTGCCTCCCAAGGCTGACGAGCCCCACCTACGTGATATGGTCTAAGAACATGCTTAACCTGGACAGTGATATAGAGCACCGAACCCAAAATTATAAGACATAACCCCATGGGGGAGGGCAGGAAAGGGAGGTTCCAGAGAAGTCATGAGAACATAAGGAAAATTATTTAATGTCAAACCCAACTGAAATACTAAAATAATCATGAATTCTGCTGTGGGGCGTTTGTCAGTCCTCCCTCATTTTGTATTGGAGGTAAAGTCTTGCCCCTCACAACTTTGGAGAAGCAGCAGCCCTCATCAGCCTGTCTAGCAGGATGGCTAGGTACTGTTGGAAATTAGTTCCAGTGAGCTGACTGTAGTTGACAGGCTATTTTTCCCTCACATGACTTACATCTGAAGTCTTTGTATGACAGATATTTTATCCATGTT